AAGATAAGTAATAATATCTAGCAAGGCAGGAAGAAATAATAAAAGATCATCTACGTGTCACTATGACAGAGTGAAGACAACTTCTTTTGTCGTTTTTAATCCCTCGGATAACAATAAACAAGTTTCGGATAGATAAATGCCAAATCCTTCAACCTGCCATGGCCAAATCTTCCCCAAGCACCGCACGTGCTTTTCTATTTTTATTTTATTTAAAGAAAACGGGCGAGGGACGACTGTGATTTTCGTCGGCATCCTCGAGGAAGAACGGTTCTTGTTTGCCATGCAGGCATCAGGAGAAATTGCATGCAATTTTATTTATTCATGCACAACAAGTATTATTTACTCGATGTTCTTGATAAAAATCGCATGGTAAACATGCTAAAACTATAAAATATAAACACGGGCTGAAACGGGAGTAATAATCTTTGTTTTTGACATTTTAAAAATATTTTTGAAAATAAAGTAAATGTTTTTCTTTGCTTCAAATGGAATTTTTTTGGTGTTTTTATATTGTTTTTGTAAATATTTTCATTTTATTTTATTCATTAAAAATAAAATAATATTTTTAATTTATCTTATAATATAATCTCTTTGAATTAAGATTACAACAAGAATTTCAGATTAAAATAAGTGATTTATGAAATTTTATATTCCTTCTCTCTTACGTGTAATTTGTATTGTTTAACAGGTTTAATGTATTAATATTAAAAATAGATTCTAAAAAATAAAAAATATTATTTTAATATATTTACTAATAAAAAAATACTTAAAAGAAAAACCAATATAGAAATATGAAACCAGCTGTCAAGCCATTATTAGAAAATTGAGATGTGAAGAAGCGGGATGGATGAGGGAGGATTTGGCGGCGGGAGATGTAAAGAAGCGCGATAGATGAGAGAGGATTTCGCGGCGGGAGTAGACGGGTGCTGCTTCTTGGTAATGTTATTTTTTATGATGTGACAGGCTTGCTAGTGAAGGACAATTCCTTTCCATATAAAAGGGGCACGATGTCCCGTCCGATTGAGTGACCAGCTTTTATTATTATTATTATTATTATTATTATTATTATTATTATGACCGGGTGTTAATAATTCCTTACAATTAGCAGGTACAGTAATTAACTAAGGATGAAGTACGCTGCATAATGTGTCTCCATGATTATTTTTTATAAAACAGTCCGTTGAAAAAACTTAAAATTGATTTTTAAAATTAATAAGCTCGTAATCCTCGTAATTAATTTTGAATTAAATCCCACCTGCACTGCACTGAAAGAGGCAAAAGGATTCTCCTGAATGGTCCCCAATTAAATTAATATAATAAAATAACTAAATTGTCTGCTTTGCCAAAACTCTCAGGCGGCCCTCTTTGACCGGATCCACCACAGACTCCTTTTACTTCTATTGATACAAGTTGGCTGGTTAGATAACAATTTAATTACTCAATTAATTAAAAAAATAATATGATGGTGATTATTTTTAAAAAATAACATATAAAAATAATATCTGTTTTTATTTTTAAAATTTTATTTGGCATCAGCTGTGAAAACAAATAGTTACTTAAATGTCACGATATTAGTCGATGGACATTTATTTGATGATAATCTTGATCAGAAAATATCGACAATCATTAATTTGAATCCTGACTTCCATTTTGCACCGAATCATAGATATACAAGGATTTCCAGAAACTGTTGAAGGAGGCTTACAATTAACAGAATTGAAGTAACAACAATGGAAGCACAAACACGTAATTGACTTGGATCGCCCTTAATCTGTTGCCTAATTATCTTTAGCAGGAGTATCAAATGGGTTGAAATGAACCACAGGAAGACATAGAAGTGGATGGGCCATGCTCATAGTCACCCCTGGTGTAACTTCCATGTTAGCCCTTGCCGTGTATTCAGCTCCATCAAGCTTCCAGTCAAAGCATTGAACCATGGCAGCAACAGTAGCATTAATCAAACTGAAGGCCAAGTTTACACCAGGGCACTTTCTCCTCCCCCCACCGAAGGACCAAAAATTGAGGTCTTGCCCCTTTCTTCCCATTTTGTCATCGGCCTCTTCTCTGGGGATGGCCACCAAGAATCTCTCAGGATAGAACTCGTCTGGATTATCCCATACTTCTGGGTCCCTCATCACGGAATGCGCGTTGACTACTGCCAGAGTTCCTTTCGGTACATCAAATCCTCCGAATTTACAATCTTCACGGCTTAACCTAGTAATTATAGGAGCTGGTGGGTGTAGTCTAAGTGTTTCTTTCACAACAGCTTGCAAGTAATGGAGACTTGGGATGTCTGAATCTTCCACTAGTCTATCTCTTCCAACAACAGAGTCCATCTCCTCTCTAAGCTTCTTGAACACTTCAGGATGATTGATCATCTCTGCCATTAACCATTGCATCGAATGTGCTGTGGTACTAGTGCCTCCAAAGAAGAGATCCTGCACAAGGAAGAAAAAAGCTTTTGAGACAGAATTATTCACTTGATTTCTATTGAAGATGGAAAGACAGAGGAAAATTATATGGTACCAGAAAGAAAGATTTCATCTGAGTCCTGCTTATCTTAACCTCTGCATCTTTGTCGTGAAATGCTTCCAAGACAATATCCATCAAATCTTTATTTTCTATCTCACCGCCATCTCTTCTTGCTCTCTCTTCATGTTCTTCCATGATCCTCTCCAACAACTCATCAAACCTTCCTGGTACATCCAAGAGCTGCTTCCGGAAAAAGAAAACACCTACTTTTCTTAAAGGGCCTAAAAGATTTGCTAAAGTCATCTTAGCTACTAGCTGAAAGGATTCTCGCACCAGCCCTACACACTTTTCAACATCATTATCTTGTCCTGAACAGCTCGCACTCATCACCATCCTGTACGTAATATTGTTTGTTAGTGTCATTATCCCTTTGCTCAAATCTACAACCTCCCTTTTTTTCGCTTTCTCGTCAAAAAGCGAACAAGTTCTTCTCGTCTAACGCCCCGTGACCAACGCTTTTCTCAAAAAGCGTTCAAGTTCTTCTCGTCTAACGCCCCGTGACCTTTCTAGTTGTCGCGCTCCAAGCAATTCTGTTAGACAAAGTTTCTTCATGAATCTCCAATAATCTCCATACGGGGCATGAAAAAAACTTGAGGTTCCAAATAGTATACTATCCTCGAAAGGAGATTTTGGTTTGTATGCAAAATTGAGATCGTGTGTCTTGAAGATTTCGTTGGCCATTGAAGCGGATGAGACAAGAAGGACAGGGAAGGAGCCAAGACGAAGATAGAGAAGAGGACCATATTTGGAGCAGAGGTTGTGCAAGCATTTATATGCTGCTGGACTTAGGTAATGAAGGTGACCGATGAGAGGAAGTACCGGAGGACTTGGAGGGAGGCAAAGATGGGTTCGGTGCTTCGTTAGTCTCCTTAAGATGTATTGGAGAATAAAGGTTGAGGTAAGCACAAGGAGGAAGGTAATGAAGTAGTATTCGACATAAGTCATGGCAGCCATTGTTAGAACCTTGTGGTGTGTATGTATCCCTTTACAAATTATTGCCCTTATAGTAACTACGATAGCAAACAATTAATTATCTGTGGTGATTATTTTACTTCTCTTCTGAAAAATAGGGAGTCAGTACAGTAAGTCAACTAAAGAAAAAAAACATATTCAAGCTTACAGGACAACAGATTTAGAAACAAAGACAAACTAACAGATACACAAAGAAATCTATGCATAAAAGAATCAGCTATAGTCTGCAAATGACAAGTCTCAGGAAACTTAGAATTGAACAAGGCTTCCTTCGAGATTGTGGTATTATGTAACCTACACTGAACAGCTTGGACAGTGTTCTTCAGTGTTAAATCTATCGTGAAAACTCCACATTATGCGCCCCCTCTATTGTTTCTCTCCTTCCATATATAGTATGTATCGGCACTACGGGAGATTCTCATCAACACAGCAACAAAAAAGAAGAAGAAAAGAAAACAATTCTTCTGAAGCATTTGCTTAGACGTCCAATAGAACTCATAAACCAATAGCCTACTTGCTTGTCCACTTTGCATAAAACCAGAAATTCCTGTCAGTTGGATTTCGGATATAAAGTTTCCAAAATCTAGACTAAAAAGTGGTTTAAGTTTGCGGACTGCTCAAGCAGCAAATGGTTGAAGTTTATCACATGAAGACATAATAGTGGACGAGCATTCTCACAGTGGTCATGCCTGATATGTTACCTTCTACCCATCTACACCAAAAGCCTTCCCATCAAAGATGCAATTTTTTCTTCATTAAACTGAAGGCCATGTTTGAACCGGTACATATTCTCCTTCCCCAGCAAAATGGAACGAAATCAAAATATCTCTTCTTTTTAGTTCCCCTTCGATTATCCTTTTCATTCAGGGAAATCAAGAACCTCTCTGGACATTAATGTTTAGGAATAGTTTGTTTAGTACTTTTTAAATAATTTTTAAAATGCATATTAATAATATTTTTTTTATTTTTAAAATATTATTTTTAACATTAATATATCAAAATAATTTAAAAATACTAAAAATATATTAATTTGAACTTAATAAAAAATAAAAAAAATTCAATGTTTTTCAAAAAAAATAAAATATATAATCAATGTTTTTCAAAAAAAATAAAATATATAATTCAATTGATCATCTGTTGTGGATGAAAACGATAGATGAAACGCCATCGATATTGCTAATAAGATATGCAGTTATATTCTGATCTGCCATCCATGTTCGCATCGTTTCTGGTTGGACTTGGGGCTTTTACCCTCTGGTAATGTGCTTCTAGCTCCTTCTGTTTTATTGTTTGTTACCTTCTTTATCTTCCTCTGGGCTCTTGCTATTGTTCTGGCTTTTGTGTGATTTTCAGCCCAGGTTCCTATGCATTTTCTTTCATTAGACATTAGGCTTCGCATAATAGTATTGGTTGACTTAACGGTTTCTTGATGTTTATAATATTAGATGATATCTGAAAGTGGGACTCAAATCATTGCCTAATAACCTATGTTTGTTTTGATTTATGATTAGAAAGCTAAATAACAAAGAAAGCAAATGCCTACATCAGAAAATCATGACATTCATGTACTTGATTATTTAAGCGGTAAAGGAACAAAAATTAAGCAGAAAATGGGTTGAAGTGAACCACAGGAAGACACACAAGTGGATTGGCCGTGTGCATAGTCATGCCTGATCTTTCTTGCATCATTGCATGTTAAACTTGGCTCCATCTTCATCTGTACCAATCTTCCAAACAAGCATTGAACCATAGCTGCAACTGTAGTATTCATCAAAATGAAGGCCAATTTTGCACCAGGACACCTTCTTCTTCCTCCGCCAAACAGAACCAAACCAAAATTTTGCCCCTTCTTAGTTTCCCTTGTTCCACAGGGCAAACCAGGAATCTCTCTGGGCAAAACTCATCGGGATTATCCCAAGCCTATGGATCCCTCGGGATGGAATACAAATTGATTAGTACCGCAGTCTCTTCAGGTAAACCGAATTCTACAATTTTACAACCATCGCCGCACAGCCGACGCGTTATGGGCATTGGAGGGTGTGGATGTAGCCCTCCCTTCACCACTGCTTGCAAATAATGAAGGCTTGGGGTGTCTGTAGTCATCAGAAACACCATAAAATAGTTAAATAAAATATATTGCACTGCAAATTTCAAAGCTGATTGTTTAGGATTCAACACATTCGTTCGCAGCTACAAGTCTCTGAGTTACATTTAATAATGGAAGAAGTCATGGTGGCTTAATTTGCCAGAAGTGATTGGAAAAGATTAGCAAAGAATTAAGCTTGACTAATCCCAATTGTTAAATCACTAACTAGGCCAGCTCAAAGAAAATAATCTTTTTAGCAGCATTGTTTTGCAAATGTTGAGAAATCATGCCAACGGGAGCGACGAGGAAAAAAGCTGGGATTCCATTGATAAGATTTGAGCTGGAAACTTTTATCGTGTGCAGGGAAATAAAATAGCTCGTGATATCCTTCTAGATATTTTACCGTGACCGCTTTGCTAAAAAAAGAAACAGATGAACACCATAAAATTTACTCGAAAATGGATAAAGTTGGTAAATTCAAAACTCATGACTGCAACGCATTAGGCTCAATTTTCGGACAGCATGATAACAAATCATAGTAAGAACACGGTTCAAACTAACAAAGAAATCATTAATTAACCTCTCAATTATTTAATATACAACCAATATTTCTGGTCATATATACATGTATACAAGTTATTTGAAGAGGTTAAGCAATTAAACCTAATACATTATTAACACAAAGAAAATGCAAAACATTACAAGAACATGCAGCAACATGGAAGCAGGATCCCTTGCAACAGGCTCAGAACCTGAACTCCCTCCAGCATGATCAGAACCCCTCAGTACTGGCCCACCACCACCTGCAGCTCCACGAGGAACGGTACTGGTACCGCCGCCTCCAACGTTGCGTGTCCCAGGGCTACTTCCTTTTGCTGGGGTCCCCCCGCCTCTTGCAGGACCACCACCTTTACCTCCACCACCTCCACCTCCTCTTCCACCACCGCCCCCGCCTCCTCTTCCACCACCACCTCCACCTGCGGCTGATATTGATGTTACCAGTAGGGTAATGATCAAAACAACTATGAGTATCCTGGTCACTTTATTGAGCTTCATCTTCACTTTTACACCAAAGAAAATATTGAAAGAAAATTCGTAATTTAAATCTGGAGATTTTATTTTATTTGTTTGATTTGATGAACAACGAGAAGAATAGGCCTATATATAGGTGAAAGAGAGAAGAGGAATAATCATGAAGCCGCGTAGCTAAAGGTCACCATGCCAGGAAATCATGGCGAATCTCTGCAAGACTTCGCCTTTGAGAATTTTGCATTGGTAGCGCGGTTGAAAATTGAAATCATGTTTTTAAAAATTTTAAATTATTTTTATATATTTTTAGATTATTTATTTAGATTATTTTTATATATTTTTAGATTATTTTAATATATTAATATTAACAATATTTTTTAAAACATAAAAAACATATTATTTTAATAAATTTTCAAATAAAAAATACTATTAAAATAACACCATCTTTGAAATTTCAATCATAATCAAGATTGTGAATTAATTTCTTTTAAATTACAGCTTATTATGTTCGTATGACCTTTCAATTCCGAGCTTGACTTTTTCAGGGTTGACAGAAAACTCCAATTAATATATATATTAATTAGGATTAAGTCTGGTTCTTTGAATAATTTTAAAAACATACTCCACGTCGATAATATATATTCTAGAAATTTAATAAATTTTTAGAGATACTAATTAAGAGATTTGAACTTAAAAAATAAATTAAAGAAGTAAGCATATTTTTTTCATTTGGAGGACAATCAGGTGAAGTTGATCTGACTTTATTAATTTCTCACATTTGAGATAGGACAACGAAAATCTCATTCAAAAACAACGGGCAAGATACTTTGACCCTTGACTTTTAATGATAAAATTTATCACCAGGTCATCTAAGGAACTATGGACCTTTATTGGGCCCGCCCTAGATGTTTTGAGGCTGGAAAGCCCATATTTGTGGAAGTAATTTCTCGGCTGGTTAAATTGGCCCAGAGTAGCGAATTTTACAGTAAAACAGATTTTTATACATTTTATCATTAAAATATATTCAATTTATTTCCAATAATATATTCACACAAGGATAGAACCTCAATGATCAGTAGCATAAATAAAAACTTAAATTCCTTCTTATTCCGTAAAAGCTATCCTTACATGGAAGCTTTGTAAAAATAATAGCAAGGTGATTTTCTATTTTTACAAATTTAAGTACAGTATATCATATAACCTCTTAAAAATATAAAGGTGATATTTCATTTCAATATGTTTTATATGTGAGTGTTTTATAAAAATATAAACACGCTTATTATTTATAATATTTAACAGGTATATGATCAAATTTAAGTTCAAAATGTTATAAGATTTGTTTCATCTATAAATTTTGTGTATATCAACTACTAACCATTATATATTTTGTTTTAGTTATAAATAAAATTGTTGAGTTATGTTTCTTACTTGTTTAAAATATTAGAAATAATTCTAGAAAATAATATGTTACACTAGTAGTTTTTCCTACAAACTTACACTCGCTTTATTTCAGATACTATAATCATGGAAGTGGGATTATGAAGCTCAAAATAAAAATTAAACTGAAAAAAAATATAAAATTTAATTTTCAAATAAATTAATATTAAAAAAATAAAATTAAAAAAACATGTAAAAAAAATTATTAAGCACTGTTTAAAGATGATGGAGGTTCTCCACATGTTCGCGCAAGTTTTATACATGTTAGCTGATTTTTATTTGAGTTGTATTTTGTATTTATTAAAATATTAAATTATCATAGCATTAGCATTTTTTTATTCAATTTACTTTTTCTTGCTGTAGTGTAGGAAATAGATCAACGAGAATAGATTAGAAAACAGGAACATAGACAAAATAATAAGTTAAATAACATGTTTCATAAGAGAAGTAAATGCATCCTTGGACAAATCAAAACCAAAACCGATTGCGGCCATTTCAGCAACAGCCTGATAAAAGCATGGTATGGAGAACTCTGTAAGAGGCATAATAGGCAACAAATGCAATCATGCCACCAAACCACATTTACAGATTACCTCTATTGCAGAGATCATTTTGCGACCCCGTGAGTCCGTGGTGTCTTTCTATTCAGGAAAACCTTCAGGTATTACAGGTTCTGAACTAAGGGCAGGTTCTGAACCAAGTTCCTATCAAAATGAAGATGAATTAGCAAATGGCAACTAGACAACAAAAACATTAAAAAGGGAAAGGAATGATCCGGTACCTTAAAGCGAGTGTCGCCATTTAGGATCTGGTCGAGCATCTACCTTTTCATTTCTTTGATCTTTACAAAAAGCAACAATCTTAAGCTACTGGATACCAAACGGAGTCCCTCTCTGCAACGACAACAGTATACAGGTTCATCTATCATGATGTGCTATTTTTAGAATGGTGTTTCCATAACAAATCCATACAGACAATCCTAGTCACCATCAATGATCCGAAAACCTAATGAAACACATCTATTTTCAGCTAGCAAACAAGAACCGGAAGAATAAACCAATAAAATTCAAGCAATTGGCACTAAATTCACATAAGAAGTGTTTAGTTCTATTTTATTTTTTTGCTATGGAACTCGGTGATTAAAAAATAAAAAAACAAAAGAATCCACAAACAATCTGATCGACTTGAAATATGGAGTATTATATTGGCAATAATCCAGTGGCAGAATCCAAATTTTCCATGTTAATAAAACCTAAAGAAAACGATCTAAATTTCCATTATTTCTCACATTTCTCAGAAACCAAAGGAATCACAAGTGTCCAACTCCGATTACGTAAAGCAATAACGGTAGCCAAGCCAAAAATAACAAAAGATTTAGATAGTGATAAATGTTCAATACTCTTTCCCTTTTCATCTCACACTTTCTCAGCAACCAAACAAACGCGTTCCCCGCAGTGGAAGTGCAAATCCAATCTAATAACCAAAACCAATACAAGCAGTCAGGTACTAATCAAAGTTCCAAATTTTCCTCTTTATCATCAAGACCAATTTGACAAAAAATTCACTTTTCCCACCACTCCCAGAAACCAGAATATTTTATCTCCCTACAATATCCTAACCATCCACTAAATCAAGCTCAACAAACACTTCAGTTCCTCAGCCCCGAATTCAAAACCAAAACGTCCCCTCATTTTCACACACTTTCTCGATAACCAGACATCACAAACCCGAAAACACAAAAAACCCAATTCCCAAAATTTATCATATAATACAGACATCCACATTAACACCTTCGCATCCTCTAAATCCTCATCTTCCAACCCAAAACTAAGACTCTTTTTTCTCTCATTTTCTCTAAATATCTCGAGAGATTAATCGCTGGTATCTCCATTATTTGACTGATTCTGGTTTTTGGTTTGTTTTCTCTTTTGGAATGTATATAGAAGGTTAGAGAGGGGGAGGGGGAGTGATGTCGCTTCTGGCAGTGGCGGGATGATGGGTTCTTTCTTTCACTTTTATCAAGGGAAAACTACATTCAAGTCATCAAACTATTATATAATTTTTATCAGGTCCTTAAGAGTTTCTATTGCGCGCCGCTGAGGCGCTGATTTTTTTACCGAAATCCAGACAATTTCATCTTCCTTTGGACCAGCTTGTCTGGGATATTGGTAATAAATGCATGCATTGTATTTTCTCTCCATAAATAAGAATTTCTATATTTAATTGATAAGGCTTTGTAGCATATGTTGACATAAAAAGTGAAAAACATTCTGGTTTCAAGGTTTATACTGGTGTTGATCATAATGGATGAGATATCACCTTTTAAATGTACATTAATTGGTCACACATTGATCAAATCGTGAAAGCTTCAGACAAAACCTGTTTTTTCAAGTGGCTGTGTTTTGGGTTGTGGTAATTGAACTTGAATGTGCAGCTTTTTTTCTAGGTTTAGTGTTTCTTCCCACACAAGTTCTTGTTAGAATATCCGGTACTCTGATAGTTGAGTTAGTAAATACAAGAGAAAAAAATAATATAACAAAGAAGAAGGAAGAGTGGAGAGAGAAGAGCATGTGTGATTTTTTCTTGCATGATCTTGTTTTTATGCTCTACCTAATGATCAAGGGTATTTACATACCTTGATCACATTAACCTGTAAAGCATGGATAGTGCTGCTATAGTAAGGATTTCTAATTTTTTACCTTAAAATATAAAATAACACCATAGTCTACTGGTATTGGATGTAAATCTGGTTTGCATTTTCATTAGTTAAAAAAAAAAAAAGTGCACCGAGATTGATGTACCAGTGGTGTAGTCAAAACTATTGTAGATGAAGGATCTAATCAAAATCTCGTGTAATAGTTGGAGGGCTCATATGTAGTTTATGCCATTCTCAAAATGGGTGGTGGCGCATGTTAGCAAAAGTGAATCTGGTTCGGTGGCGCCTGGAGATTCTTCGCGTGGGAGTTCTCCTGCGTGTGCGTGTGCCTGTATGGCAAGCAACGCCCTGGTTCCGGGTTGCAACCCCAAACCGCACATCAAGAAAAAGATCGTGTCCTTAACTGGGTAAATGTTCGCTTTTCCTTTCCTTTTACCTTGTAGCATGTGATAAATTGTAAAAATTTACTAATTACTACTTGAGAAACTAAAACTAGAAGAGCTTGCTGTCTGAATGGTGCAATCTACTGTTCATTACCATGCTTTTTTTTTGTCATCGACTTTTATTCTTTGCAGTTTCATCCTCTCGTGTCATACTAGCATGATTATATGTGTTTGAGATTTTTTTCACCTTGCATGCTCTTACGTGTTGAGAGATATTCCGATATTAAATTACAGGTTGATTATACAAAGTAGCAATTTAGTGTCGTCAAATTTTATTCTTTGCAGTTTCATCCTCTCGTGTCATACTAGCATGATTATATGTGTTTGAGATTTTTTTCACCTTGCATGCTCTTACGTGTTGAGAGATATTCCGATATTAAATTACAGGTTGATTATACAAAGTAGCAATTTAGATTGTAATTAAAAAAACAAGGACCATAATAAACAAAAACAATTGAGCCCGGTGCTGAAAGACATGGAAAAAATCAGTCTAGTCCTTGAAGTTTTAAGTTACAAGTTTTTACTTGGTCCTTGAAGTTTTAGAAGTTTACGTTTCAATTCTAAATTTTATTTTTTTCTTGTTTTCGGTTTCCCTGTGCTAAGAAGGAAGTGAAAAAAAAGGTGCATCCAGGCTTCTTCAATCTTTGCCAGGTGTCATGTTTTTTTTATTGATTTTTATTTAAA